TATAATGTATCAAATAGTATGGTTGTGGACTTTGAAGTGGCGCGCCTCGGGTGCTCTGCTCCCTGCCGCTCCCTTGAATATGCTAGCTATAACAGAAGAAATGAATGTAAAGTACTCATTTTTTTCAAGCGGAGGTCAATATTATATATAAAGCATACAATGCAATATGATAGTTCGCTACTTACATAAGCGCCATATAACAGTCTTAAGATCTTGATGACAAATAATAAAAAGTATTATTAGAACCTAGCGCGCTTTAATGTATATAAAAACAACAGAAGTGTTTATATTTCATTTGTATGACCATAGGTTTATTGCACAACAATTATGGACTCATTTCCGGAAAATTGCCCGGAAGCTTACGTTCCACTTCGCAATTGTGGTTTACTGAAAAAACACTACACACTTGCGAGAAGGAGCATCTCTTTTCATTTGTTAAAATATGAAAAACAAGATCAACAAGGAAAGGCGGCGTTCAATGAACGCAACCCCCATATGACCCAGCAACAAGAACCAATGGCAATGTTAAGATTAATGCGAGCAAAGCACCGTTCATTCTATATTTCCTAAATTTCTAGACAATGAGAAGTAATGTACGTTGTTAAAACGACAAACAAATTGTATTATGTGCTTATTTATCAAATATAAAAACCTGTAATATGCGCCTTTGGAGCACAGAGGGAATTACAAAGAGGGAATTACGCTGTTTTATTAGTTGAACTGTTGATGACAAAACCTACTTCTATCAAATACATTAAACGTATGTCGTGCAAATATGAACATACATGTGTTGATTTGTTGAAGCCATCATATCAACATTTTTCATTTACTCTAATATACTAAAACAAGAATAAAGACTAAAACACGTCTTTGCTAAAACTACACAATTTTAATGTCTCTTTTATGTATCGTTAAATCCAGAATTGTAATTTTCAGAAAGTATGTCTGCATCAGCGCAAATAAAAATCTAAATATAGTTAAAACACCTATTGAAACAGTTTAGGAATCAATTACTAGAATGACATCAAGTATGTCTGTTTTAAAATAAAGATGTTTACGTAAATTTGTTTACAACTGATAGGCTGTAGGCATGAATATTTACTGCCAGATATTATAAGCTTTAATATTACGAAAACCATAAAATACTGTTTAAAGCCTCAGTTATATGTACTTTTCTATTTGCACAAAGTATTGTGCTCCCTCTGAAGCATTAAAAACAGCAAAATTACATGTACATGGCAAACTCGCTTTGAAGATCGTCCTTGAATATCGTTCAGCACGACATTATTGTTGCGTATACGTGTTATGTGGTACTTTTAGTTTCTTCTATTTGGCCTTTTTCAACTTGGGTGGTTCCAGTATTCCTACTTGAATACTGTATAATCACCCTTAAGATATGTTGCCTGCTTTTTAAATTTGTCTTTTGGCGTCATATCTGTGATATGCAGGCTTCAAAACCTCAGATCACCTTTCAAAATTCCAGCTTATTTAGTTCCGCCCATTGTGTTTCGTTTAGGGCACAAGCATTCTTTTACTTTGGAACCATACGCCGCTTTTCATGGAATGGCACTACTGTGTCACATTGAAGATTCCATGATAACCGCCGTATGAACACATCTGCGGATGTTTCTTAACTCAAAATTTCACCTTTTTTGGTGTTAAATGTTGAATTCTGCTTAAGCCGGTGCTAGGGCGCGTGGACGGTAACTTGCACTTTCCATTACCGTCCATGAACAGGCTCAATCAAACCGAGCCTGCAACATTTTCAATATTGTTGTGTTGGGCTTTCTTTAGGGATTCTGCTTTACTCTATTTTATTGTCACATCCGTGTTATTTGTGCCGTGTGGCGGCTGTAAAAAGTCTCCCCGTACATTTAATCAATGATGTTATATTTTCGATCCTTGAAGATCGTTCAGCACAACATTATTGTTGTGTAAACATGTTATGTGGTACTTTTAGTTTCTTCTTTTTGGCCATTTTCAACTTGGGTGGTTCCAGTATTCCTACTTGAATACTGTATAATCACCCTTAGGATATGTTGCCTGCTTTTTAAATTTGTCTTTTGACGTCTTATCTGTGATATGCAGGCTTCATAACCTCAGATCCCCTTTCAAAATTCCATTTTATTTAGTTCCGCCCATTGTTTTCTCGTTTAGGGCAAAAGCATTCTTTTACTTGGGGACCATACGCCGCTTTTCATGGAATGGCACTACTGTGTCACATTGAAGGTTCCATGACAACCGCCGTATGAACACATCTGTGGATGTCTCTAAATTCAAAATTTCACCATTTCGTGTTAAATGTTGAATTCTGCTTAAGCCGGTGCTAGGGGGGCGTGGACGGTAGCTTGCACTTTCCAGTAGGACGGTGCTATGCAGCATTGACAGTAGCATGCAATTACCACAACAACATGAACAGGTTCAATACAGCCGAGTCTGCAACATTTTTAATTCTACTATTTCCTCGTTCTGTAGGAATTCCCTTTTTCTTGTTTTACATGTCCCTTTTGTGTCAAAATAATTTGCCCCGCCATAGAGACTACACATTTTAATATGTGAAAAAGAGCTCACTTTTTTTCACTATATGGTCTTTCTTTCCAGGCCTTAATCATTATCTTTATTGTAAAATTGACAATGAAAACAGTAATTGAGCAAGGTGAAACATATTCCATAAATATCCAATAACCAGAACGAAACAAATGTTTATAAATGTCCATGTTGTTTTACATTTTTCTTCCACGTTTTGAAGCATTTAGTATATTAAATTTTATAGAAATAAATTATGTACATAAATATTTTTGTATTATCTATTTAAAATTTCACTTTACCATGTTTCAATGTTAAATTATGCTGAAGAAAGAGACATGGACGGTTTGCACTTACAAATACTTCCCAAGAACAAGAGCCTAAAACATTATATAGTTTTGGATGTTCTTTGGGAATTCCTTTTTTCTCCCTTCTCTGTTTTCCCTTTTTGCAATCATTTCGACAAGAACCCTGCATTTAATGTAATTTACAACTTTAAGAGTACATCACGCAAAGAAAAATTTGTATGATGTTTGCGAAGTAGTTGAGATAGATGTTCAATATTCAAAAATGGTGTGGTTTTGAGCGTTTGTGCTCTGGTCAGCTTTATAATAACCCTAAGTTCAGTTAAATACCCGTATAAAATAGAAAAATAAGAATCCATAAAGAACACGGGGGTGGAACCCCATATGAATCTCAAATTTGAACATCGGTAAAAAATATATGTGAATTTCCGCTGCTCAATATGTGCAGTATAACTCGATATGTGAATGAGAAAATATGTCAATTTCATTATTTTAAACATTTTTTGGCTTAACACGGTAACAGTGTTTCATAACAGACCAATAACCTGCTTAAATAGTATGAACAAATTGATTTTTAATTGGACTGATCATTTTTTATCTAAAGGTGCATCCTTTTCGTTTTCAACATGTAATCTATGAAGTTAAATTTCGTAAAAGGAATTCCTCCTTTCCTTTTATATCCCTTCATATTCATAGATTAAATATACATATACTATATTGCTTCCTTGCTCTATCGACTTTGAGGCCTCGAGAGCATGGTAAGCAGTTATCATATTACTTAAAGGTTTATTGTTTGGTTTTTGTGAATATTTGTATGAGTTTCAAAAGGATGCGAGTCAACACTTTGTGGCATAACAGTGACAAACGGTACATTTATTTTCTGAGTTGTGTTGCATATTTGTGAATATTTTGATTTTTCTTTTTTTGTTGTGTTATAATACTTTCATAACTTACATACATGACTTAAATTTTCTAAATTCCCCTTTGGTGTGTGTGTGTGGGGGGTGGGGGGGGGGCTTGTGATAAAATCATCACGTCTTATCTGCTCGAAACAAAACACGCTTCAAAACATTGTATCAAAATATGAAAAACAAGATCAACAAGGAAGGTCGGCGTTCAATGAACTTATAAAATATAATTCTTCATTATCTCCGTCAGTGACAAGTACGAAATTGTGTCATGGGATAAGACATGTGTTTGTTTTCGAAATTATTGCCTACGTGCGGTCGGTCAACAACAACATGTAGCTCAAAAAGAAATAACTATAGATAGAAATATTTGTGCTTAACGATCTTCACGGATTGAATATATAACTTGTTTGCGAACGTTTACATCCTCTACTCGGCACATACAACTTCAATGTAACAATGAAATAAAGAGAGAAAAAAACGCTAAAGAACTCCCAAAATAGCAAAAACTGAAAACGATTCAGGCTCAGTATCTGAACTTGAAATGTAGGCTACCTGCCACGCCCAATCTAACAATAGCTGTCATGTCTTGATAATTGATCTTAAGTATTACATTGAAAACATAATCTATAAACGGGAAGACAATCAGAGAGCATACAAAACAAAAAATGTTAAATGTTTAATGCAGACTAGACATACCGCCTCCGTGGTCGAGGGGTTAGAGTCGATGACTAATCCAGTTACCTCTCTGGCATGGGTTCGATCCCCGGGAGATGCTTTGGTAGTTTAACACGGAGGAAGGTACTCTAGTACTGAACGATGGTTAGGAAACTACCCGCCTGTATGACTGAATACTGTTGGGAAAAGGCGTAAAATGAAACAAACAAACAAAGCAGACTAGGTTTGTTTAGCCTGTTTTTGAGAGAAAATGCAAGATGTAACATGTTTCATGTCTCCTGTCACGGGATTAAGCTTAGTTAAATCTTCGGCACTAACTCATTTAAAAATATAAATATATTTTATATAATATATATTCAGTACAGATATGACAAAAATAAGTGACATAAATCCAGAGTTTAAAACCCTAGTTTATTTAAACTCGAGGTTTATTAGTAATTAATCATCTTTGGAGATTTAATTATAAACACGTTGATTGAAAGCTGTACTTTAAGGAGAACATTTAAATGGCATTTGTTCGATAAGGGAGTAAAAATATTTTTAAAGATAGCAGAAAAGGTCATGTAAATAATTCTACTTTCAGTAACACATATTTATGTCCGAGGTAATATACATGTATACTTATAGGTATTTATAGATGGAATGAACGCAAATTTGAATCATATGTTCAAGACGTTCAAGATGAATACGTTTCAAATATTTGCTTTGCTGTTGATTTGTTTGATAAATGGTTCTCTCGGTGCGACAAAAAGCAAATGTGATGTTGTACATGCACTGAGAACAGAAGGAGTTCCAAATTCCGACATGAGGGACTGTAAGTATTAGAGTAAAAAATTTTGATTCTGTTGATATATTTCAACGTCAATATCTTCTTAGATATTACATATTTATGTTGTTCTTAATTGTTTCAAATATTTGATAGGAATCGAATAAAGCAGTACAAAAATACACATTAACATTATCCTGTGTAAATATACTTTGTAAGACTGGTTTGAAGTTGGGATAGAACTGTACTTTGGGTTTAAAACAAAGAATATCAATATCACATCTAGAAGGTTTTTAAAATAAAACAGTGACTGTACTTTATTATTTTAATATCACAAATATATGCAATTAACATGATGTCATGAAAAGGATTGTAATACATTTCGTATCTTAATGCCTTGCATGACGTTATCTTCTGTATGTGTTTTCGAATAACATCAGGTATTTTCATATTGATATTTTAAGGAAAATGCATTTATTTAAAAGTGATTGACCCAACGCTTTTTCTTTATAGGGTTGTGTCTCGTTGCTCACGAGAGTAGTTACCGGTACGATATTAAACATATCAACAGCGATGGATCAACCGACTTTGGCATCTTTCAGCTCAACGATAATTATATGTGTGGCAATGCACAAGGCACGAGTTCCACAACTTGCTGGAGAATACGAACATATGGCTGTGCAGATGCTTGTAGCAGTAAGTGGTTTTATCTTTTTGAATGTGAAATTATGATTTAAGGGAAGCAATATTTTTCAGTTTGTCTTCTTAACCATTGTCGAAGGAATTTACTTTTCCTTTTGAATGTTAACAAATGATATGTACAAGGATATATAGCATTTTTTTAGCTCACCTGAGCTTGCTCAGGGTGAGCTTTTAGGATCGGTGAATGTCCGTCGTCCGTCGTCCGTCGTCCGTCCGGCCGTCCACAATTGCTTGTGAACACTCTAGCGGTCGCATTTTTGCCTCAATCATCATCAAACTTGGTCAGGATGCTTATCTAGTTGAAAGCTCGGATGAGTTCGAACATGGGTCATCTCGGATGAAAAACTAGGTCACAAGAGCTAAAAATAGAAAAACCTTGTGAACACTCTAGAGGTCACATTTTTGACCCAATCATCATCAAACTTGGTCAGGATGTTTGTCTAGATGATAGCTCGGATGAGTTCGAACATGGGTTATCTCGGATGAAAAAGTAGGTCACAGGAGCTATAAATAGAAAAACCTTGTGAACACTCTAGTGGTCACATTTTTGAAACCAATCATCATCAAACTTGGTCAGAATGCTTGTCTAGTCAATTGCTTGGATGAGTTCGAACATGGGTCATCTGTGATGAAAAACTAGGTCACAGGAGCTAAAAATAGAAAAACCTTGTGAACACTCTAGTGGTCACATTTTTGACCCAATCATCATCAAACTTTGTCAGGATGCTTGTTTAGATAATAGCTCAGATGAGTTCGAATATGGGTCATCTCGGATGAAAAACTAGGTCACCGGAGCTATAAATAGAAAAACCTTGTTAACACTTTAGCGGTCACATTTTTGCATCAATCATCATCAAACTTGATCAAGATGCTTGTCTAGGTGATAGCTCGGATGAGTTCGAACATGGGTCATCTCGGATGAAAAACTAGGTCACAGGAGCTAAAAATAGAAAAACCTTGTTAACACTCTAGTGGTCACAATTTTGACTCAATTGTCATCAAACTTGGTCAGGAAACTTGAATAGGTCATTGCTTGGAATAAATCGAACATGGGACATCTCGGATGAAAAACTAGGTCACATGAGCTAAAAATAGAAAAATCTTGTTAACACTCTAGTGGCTACTGTTGTGATCCAAATATTCTGTTAATTGGTCTGAAAGTTTTTTTTGATGATTTCTAAGTCAAGATCAAACATGGGTCATCTTGGATGAAAAACTAGGTCACACCGCCCAAATATGGAAAAACCTTGTTAACATTCTAGTGGTCACATTTTCGACTCGATTATCATCAAACTTGGTCAGGATGCTTGTCTAGGTAATTGCTTGGATTAGTTCGAAATCGCATGTGAAACTAGGTCACCGGAGCTAAAAATAGAAAAATCTTGTTAACACACTAGTTGCTACTGTTTTGATCCAAATATCCTGGAAATTGGTCTGAAAGTTTGTTTTGATGATTTCTAGGTCAAGTTTGAATATGTGTCACCTGGGTAAAAAACTAGGTCGCACTGCTCAAATATGGATAATCCTTGTTAACACTGTAGTGGTCACATTTTTGACTCACCTGTCATGAGACTTGGTCAGAATGCTTGTCTAGGTAATTGTTTGGATGAGTTTGATAATTCAGGTGAGCGATCTAGGGCCATCATGGCCCTCTTGTTTATTTCTCTTACCGGATTAAGTTATGCCAATTCTTAATTTGCTAACATCACTTCACACTTACGCTGAATTACTGGTAAAAATGAATAAGGTGCATCAAAGTTTAAAGAAAGCAAAGAGAAACGGACCCATTGGTTGCTCTATTTAAAGACATTACTCGGAAAACTAACAAATTTCAAGTTATTCTGGCGCGAGGCTAGTATATCAAAATAAGAGGACATATCAACTTATATGTGACTCAGAATATTAACTTTCCTTTTGTTTGTTATCAGCTTTTGCAGATTCTAACATAAGCAATGATGCAAGCTGTGCGGTGAGGGTGAAAAATTGTGACGGATTCAAGCGGTGGTAAGTATATAATCTGCTGATGCATCATGGTAAACTGTAGTAAATCAGATAGCTTTTTTGCTGAGTTGTTTATTTATGCTTTGGGCAAATTAGCAGACTTATATATTACAAATGCTTGTGACCAAACATATTAATGTACAGATAATAACAGGACCAAAATAAATAATATGAAACCTTTCATCTCTGCAACACTTTATTTAAATTTCAGGTACGGCTGGTTAAACCACTGTTCCGATGTAAGTGGATCACAATATGATTACAGTCACTGCTGAAACCTAGTATCCATTTATTTAAAGATTTTTTCTACAGTTTTAGGAAAATTTAATTCTTTCATGAAAAGTTCTTAATTTTGTGTATAAGTACAGTTGAATGGCGAATTCAAAAATACAAAGACAAATATGTTGACGTGTTGGATTTTTTCTTTGCAAAATAGCAGTTTCCATGGTAATCGTATATCTCAAAATTGTCAAAATAGCCACAATATGTATTAAGACAGCTGAAGACACACAAAAAGCACAATTTATACAAAGGTAATTTTATCTAATGATTCTGTATGAAACAAATGATGATTGCATGTAATATTGTTACGCTACGGTCCAGCTATATGGTGCCAGGCCCTTTAATCTGCTTAAAAATGTGGTAACGTGCTCAAGACTTGGTGACCAATAATCGTACTGGACTGTAGAGAACGATATTGTATTTACGAACAATGAAACGATCACAAATATAACAATGTTCTATATTAAATAGAAATTGTTAGGGTTAGAGGGACTGATGATACTTGTTTCGAATGACTGTCAAAGTCTATATAGATCTATTTGGCTGAAATATGCTATTACGACATCTGTGAATAGTGGGCTACTCTGTATAACTCTGTATGGCTAGGACACTGTACTCCACAGTACTTGATAACACTTCCTTACTTCTGGAGGTACGCCAGTTTAAGATTAAAATTGAGTCACAAAGAAGAAAGACTGTTCACAGTTTACTAATTTTAATTAGTGTTAAACTGTTAATAAATTCAATTGTCAAATATTCAAATAACAGTATTGTAAAAAACATCAACACATGTATATAATTCAGTCCTAAATATCTGAGAGCTATGTCTTACATAGACTTCACATTATATTATTACCGCGACTGCCGTTTAATTTCTGTTCAAAAATATGACAACGTAAATATAAAGTTTGGTCGAGTCAGTGACCGTAATAATGTGGAACAAAAATTATAAAGTTCTTATCAATTATTCTTAGACAATAATTGATTAAATGTAAAATAATAATCTAAAGACTACGTTTTATTTTGCCTTAAAAATAAGTAAAATTTGCCGTTCAGAAGAACACGACAATAATGTAGACTAACCGAAAGTTAAATGAAAACTGACTGAAGTTGATCGTTTTCTGGCCTATTTATACCAAATCTGAGAAAACGAACATAAGAAGGTTCGAAAAATGTTCAACTGTACGTTTTGGTCGGTTGACAATGTTCGACGTTCGAAAACTGAACATTTGACGTTCGGAAACGATCATTTCCATACACAAAGAACGCTGTCAACCAACCGAACGTCCGAACATCAACAATTCTTAGCTAAAGTTCTATGAAACTTTACATAAAAATACGATAAATTGATACATATAATATTTATAAAAATGACTAGTACCATGGATTGACTATAAGTTTGTTGCTTTTGATGAAACATAACTTTGAAACAATTTGTTTACTGAGTTTAGGCAGCAATTGCTATTGACAACGGAAGTCACACAACCCATAATGCATCAGCGAACAACAACAACACCTGTCAAAGTTTATCGAGTAAAATTACGATAAATGCTACTTTCTAGCTAAATGTACGCTGATTGTAAGAAAATATGTAAACAATTTATGAAATAAATCATTACTCCTTATAATTCTGATATAATTTATAGTTGTCAGTCTCTCAAGTTAACACAAAAAGCGTTTATCGGTACATGTAAAATGTAAACAATGCCGATAATGACATACGACCTGAGTAAGCAAGTGAGATTATATCATTACCCCCCTCTTATTAAGGCAAAGCTCCTGCTGCCTTCTTACAATAACAAAAATAATGAAGTTTATGCACCTATAACATAGTCATCACAAAACTCGGGCATTGACCTTTAAGACTAATAATATAGGGAAGCTCCCTTTAAAGTAAAAGTACTATCTTAAGTACATGAAACACAGATAATGAAAATTATGCATCTTATGTATAGGCACATTTAAACAGTTTATGCACATTTCACTTTCATTGATCAATAACAGTCTTAAATAGTCATTCAAATGTTATACACAGTGTTCATCAATAATAATAATAATAATGATTAAGTAATATAAATAGCACCAAGTTCAATGTCAATGTCTATAAAATAGATAAAAACAGAATCCCTAAAGTCCATGTTTCATGTTTACACTTCTCACATTTTTATTTTTAATATGTTTCACTTTTAAAAGCTCAGTCTATTTGTGTTTCAGGTATTCATAATAATTCGATTCACTAGTTCACTGTTTATGTTGTAGATATCCATGTTATAGTAATTAGCACAGTTTAATTCAATTAAATGTTTGTCACTATTTCACAAAATAAAATATCACGTACAATGTCATATTGTTTGTTGTTGATTTAATATATATGTGTACGTTTTATGCTCCACGGATTAACACTGTCAAAACACATGTGAATAAAACGTTAGTCACGACTTAAGAAATAAAATGTCACAATGTCACATTGTTTGCTTCATGTTAATTGAGTTTAAGTCCCATGTTGGAAGAGTGGCGACAGTTCATTCATTTATTTTATTCAAAATTATTATGTTCATATTTTCTTTACTACGCTTTTTAATGGCTTATTTTCCTTTCCTTTGTTAGTAGTTCTTTCCATTTGAGCTATTTTCCTCTCTATCCGGGCCAGTTCGTCTACGATTTTTTCCTGCGTCTTTTCTTGGCACCGGATAGCTCTGGTGTTACTATTAATTGCCTCTACTATGTTCTTCATACCCTCCATAGTAGAGGAGGCTAGAGACTGCAGTGCAGCAGCGATCTGACCATGATCTTCCTCCAACCTGGGTCGCTTCCTAGGTGGCTCCTCTTCACCTGCCCCATCTGTCTGTGTCTGAACAGATGCCATGGATGGATTTACATTAAAACTCTCTGTTTCCCGTAATAGGGGGTCGTCATGGTTTAGGTTGAGCAGTCCAGGGAGTAAATTCTCGGAGTCTCTCTCATCCAAGCAAGGAGTACGCTGGCCTACCGTCGAGCCAGGGGACCTTCTTCTGATCGCCGGGGTGTTCAGAGGGCCTGTGGTACCGGGCAATTGATGGACCATTGTTGCTGGTGGGGTGCTCACTCTACCAAGAACATCTGCCAGGTCCCTTGGGTCGATGGTGACCAGGTCGCTGGTTTTCTGTTGCTGAACCTGACTAGCTCCCATAATTCCATCAAAGTTCAGTGGCTGCCTCTGTGTTGAGCTGGCAGATGGCACAGTGGCAAATGGTCTAGGTAAGCCAGTATAGGGTGGCTGGTTACGGAACACCTCTAGACTGCTTGTTGTCTGTCTGCTCGGAGCCATCCAGTGTGGCATCACGAGCCCATCAACCATGGTGATCTCCTCATCGTCTGCAAAAAGACCATCGGGATCGTTCAAAGGATCTTCTTGGTTGATGGTGTGACGGGCATGCCAGCGTAAAGACTCTTCTTTACTAAGCACCATCATATCTTTATCCCCCACGTAGATGGGATTGGATGCCCTCTTAAGTACCTGGGTATAATCAGGAGTCCCAGACTTGGCCTCTTCGTCCCTGTGACGCCTGTACTTCTTAATGTGTGCCACCAGCGTGTCCTTATCTTCACATCCGAAACCCGCACAAAGACAAAAAAAACGGGACCTACCATAGGTGTGAAAACTTTAAAAAATGGGGAAACCCAAAAGACTCTTCCTTTTACTTTGGGGCGCAGTGTTCACCGGTTCCCCCTCGGTTTTGGGAAAGTGAGAAAAATTTTCTGAAACAAAAAAAAAACTTTGAGTATCCTAAAGTATACCCATATAATTGTTTGGTTCACTGATCATTAATGTTTCTCCCGGACATTTATCGGGACTATTACAACCGACAAAGATATAAATCCGGGGGTTTTGCCGTTACCCAAATTAATTTCCAAAATTTTCGCGTTTTTATTGGGTGAGAAGTAAATGTAAAATTGCAGCAGATCAGCTTTAATTAAAATTTTCAAAATGTGTTTTTTTCATTCGAAAAGAGGAGATTTCGGGGCTTTACCGTAAGTTACCATTTGTCTTTACAAACGTTCGATAAGATTGAACTTCATACGGTTATAGTAATAAATTTGCGGGTCAAACCGTTTAAAACGCATTGTTACAAATAAAAGTTATACTCGTTTCGTACACAAATTTTCTCGAATCATTATTTGATTACTCCACAAACTTCACAATATAATAATCGTTTGTTTAAATACAGTTTATTCACACAAAAATAGAATAAATGTTCACATCAGCAATTAATGTTACACATGTTACACAGTTTTTAATGTACATAAATTACAGTTTCTTTTAACAATATATGCATACACAGACAATTGATTGTCAACAAATTTAATTCTTCTTGATGAGATTTGCTGCGCGGGTCACCCATTTAGGAGGGTTTTTTCCTTCATATAACTTAAGTTTATTATGGTGGACTGTACGCTTAGTTCCATCTTTGTCGAACTGCACTACGAAACTAATTGGCGAAAATTTCTCTACAATAAGATAAGGTCCATCATAAGCTTTCTCTAACTTGGCAGTCACTCCTACTTTTCTTGTTTCATGTAGGCACCAGACAATGTCACCTACTTCATATCTATGGAAGGACAACTTGGCATCATAAATATCTTTACTTCGCTTACCACTTGACGAGAGGTGTTCTCTCGCCACATCATGTGCTCGCAACATTTTGGTCCTTAATTGCTGGACATACCGGTTCTCATTGATAACCTCTTTGGACATGGCATTCGCATGATTGAACATCAAGTCTGCAGGCATTCTAATCTCGCGACCAAGACAAAGGAGATTTGGCGAAAGGTTTGTTGCTTCATTTGGTGTACATCTGTAGGCACCGGCCAAACATCCTAAGTTAAGGTCCCAATCTTCTTGTTCACCGGCTAAATAGGCGCGAACCATCTTCAGAAGCGGACGGTTAAATCGTTCTACTTGTCCATTTCCTCTCGGATTTCTAGAACTTGTTCTAGTTTTCCTTATGTCTAGCATTTGACATAAGTCTTTGAATAATTTGCTTTCAAAAGCAGACCCCTGATCTGTATGTATGGAAAGTGGACAACCCCAGTGAGCAATAAAATCATTAAGTATTCTAGAAGCACAAGTTTCAGCAGTCTGG